GAACTTGGCCGACAAGTCCACTTTTCTGAGCAAGAATTATTGTGATCCATCGGTTACAATGCCGACGTTATATAAAAAAAAGATTTATGACTCATGAAATATGATTATAGAAAATATTCCGTGAAGGGGACATTTCTGCATAGGGGTACTATGCAGAAGTGTTTCCCATGCAGAAGTGTCCCCCACCGAACTTGGCCGACAAGTCCACTTTTCTGGGCAAAAATTATTGTGATCCATTAGTGACAATGCCGACGTTATATAAAATGGATTTAACTTATAAAATGTGATTATAGACAATATTCCGTGAAAGGGACATTTCTGCATAGGGGTACTATGCAGAAGTGTCTCCCCACAGATCTTGGCTGACAGGTTCACATTTGTGGGCAAAGATTATTGTGATCCATCGGTGACTATGCCGACGTTGTATCAAAAACATTTATCGCTTAATATATATGATTATAGACAATATTAATTTTATGGATGACATCCATTTCATTCCATTTCGCACTTTATGAGGTCCCAAAAAATATTACAAGGAAGCACATAACGTTGAATCAAGTACCATTCATTTGTTACCTTCGCCAAGAAGGTTATGTTTTCAGAGGCGTTCGTGTATGTGTGTGTGTGTGTGTGTGTGTGTGTGTCTGTAAACACGATAACTTTAGAAGGCCTTGGTGGATTGTCTTGATACTTGGTAGGTGGGTAGGCCATGATGAGACCTCAAAATGATTAGATTTTGGACCTCCTAGCGGCTTGTTAAGGTACTGCAGCTGCACTTCCGGTTTTGATATCTCATGATCTAGACATGCTAGGGTGACGAAATTTGGATGGTAGGTAGCTTTTGTGCTGGGGAAGAAGTGACGTGAGTTTGGGCCCCCTAGCGGCTTGCTCTGGAGCTACAGAACTATATGTTTGAAAATATTCAACTCAATGTAACTCAAGAACCGGTTGACGGATCGTCGTGATTTTCGGTATGTAGGTAGCTTATGTGATGCTTGATATAATTATTTGACAATTACGCAAATATGGATGTAATTTGCATAATTTATGGGGATATTCTATAAATCAGCTTCATTCCATGGTTGGACTATTGAAGCTTGTGACATTGGTAATTGAGAATGAGAGAAACACAGACAGATATTAATTCTGTAAATGAGGACTTAATTTGCATAATTAATGAGAAAATTTTATAATTATGTAAAGATAACTGCCTGGAATTTCATACTTGTGGTATTTGAAAGTTAAGTGAAGGTGAACATCACTAAACATAATGTATTCAAATCAGGACCTTATTTGCATAATTTATGAGGAAATGCTAGAATGGCATTGTTTGTTAATATAAGACTGTCTTTTGGTTGAGAATATGATAAAATGATAAAATTCATGATTCTATTTGTTAAATCAGGGGGGAATAATCTATAATTTGTCAGTCATAAAGATTATTAACATCATTTGGCGAAGGTATGAGATCGGGGAACTCTAGTATTTGTGTCTGTATCTATATTTGTACAGCTGGTATAACCACCTATCTTCGTAGCACACCAGCTTTGTAGGCACAGGGTGGCAGCTGGGTGCCGGTGGCATCTGGCTGCAATACATCGAACGACTTGTTAGTTACACCTAGCATTTGTGAACACTATTTAAGCTTAGTTGGTTGAGTTTCCGCATTGCAAAACACCCTGTAAGTAGCAAAACAAACTTCTTATTGACGGAAATAATCTGTCAACAGTGACAACGTGACGTCTGCTAAAGCTAAGGTCCCAATTACGCCGGTGCCCGTCGGGGATGTAGCCCCGGCAGGCCCCGGCCGGGTTCAGGAGTCGGGCGGGCATCGGCTGTTGTGGTCACAATTAAAAGTTGCCTTTACGCTACCCTGCAGGTGTCCCGGGGTTGCCCGGCGGGCACTCGGTGGCCTGCTGATACAAATTTTGCCATCGTCATTGATTGGTCTCCGGTAGATACCCGGCAGATGCTCTGACGATGTCTTGTAGTGACCCCTGTGGGGTCCGACACCCCCGTCCTCTTTGCCTTTGTAATGGTGACGAACTGACACGCATCCAACAAAGTGAACACCTTTGCTGTAATCACATGATCTGTGACGTCACACATTTCACCTGGTCTTACGAAGTACACGTCACCTTTATTCTGTTTATCTGGTCTGTGACGTAACAAATTAGTCCCGGTGGGCTGACGACAATCGGAGGGGTACCGGGCGGTGTTCTGACGGTTCTGTGACGGCATCTTGTTGTCAGCGGGGCCCGGGTAGAATTTAACTCAGAATTAAATTCTTATCGGGGCCCCGACAGGGCAAAAAATAGCCCGGCCACGTCGGGGTCCCGCCCGAAAGTGGTAAAAAACAGCCCGGGAACTACCCGCCAGGGCCCCTTTTCCCAATTAGGACCTTAGCTTTAGTGGGCTTGTACACTCGGCAGTGTGATTAAAATGAACCCGCCGACAGGCAAACTCGCGCGCTCCCACAAAAAGCCCGGGCAAGCCCACAGACTACTTACCAGGCTGTACTAAACACATTCGCGATGTCATGACATATCGCGAAGGAGATTTCAACGCGAAAATAAAACCACCACCAACATTTTAAGATATTATACAGTTATTGGTATCTGTGAATTTTTAACCCGTAATAAATTAGATTAAAATGTACCAGTCAGAATACGGATGCAGTGCATTCTGTGCCCCTAACCTGAGACATTATATATTAGACAGAGTTTTAACCAAAACAGTCCCAGTAACTCAAAGAAGGTTTTACATTGTCATTTGTTGTGGGAAGTAAGAGTGTAAGGCCTCTCATTTTATCAAAGAATAAATTCTCTGTGATTTGAAGCTGTCATGTTTCTGTTGTTACCTTCGCCAAGAAGGTTTTGTTTTCAGAGGCGTTCGTGTGTGTGTGTGTCTGTCTGTGTGTCTGTAAACACGATAACTCGAGAAGCCTTAAATGAATTGTCTCCATACGTTGAAGGTGGGTAGGTCTTGATAAGACCTCGATACGATTAGAATTTGGGCCCCCTGGCTGCTTGTTGTGGTACTGCAGCGGAACTTCTGGTTTTGATATCTTATGATCTGGACGTGCTATAGTCACGAAATTTGTGTGGTAGGTAGGTCTTGTTCTGGGGAAGAAGCGCCGTAGGTTTGGGCCCCCTAGCGGCTAGCGATTTCATTAAAAATATTCAAAAGAGGATAACTCAAGAACCAATTAACGGATCGTCGTGATTTTGATATGTAGATAGCTAAAGTGACGCTTGAAATAATTATGCGACAAATATGCAAATCTGGATGCTACTTCATAGTACAGCTTGTGACATATGTAATTGAGAACGAGAGAAACACAGGCAGATATTGATTATGTAAATTAACAAATTTGCATAATTCATAAGAAAATGTTATTATTCCATAATAGTAACTGCCTGGAGTTTCATACTTGAGGTATTTGAAGTGAAGGCGAACATCATTAAACATAACTTATTCAAATAAGGACCTCATTTACATAATTTATGTGGAAATGCTACAATGGCATTCTTTGTAAAGGTAAGGCTGTGCTTTGGTTGAGAATATGATCAACTGATATAATTCATGAGGATCCTATTTGCATAATCCGAAGGAATAATATTAACATCATTTGGTGACGGTATGTACATACCATCGGATACAGCTCGTCTCTTTCTGAGTGGCAACACCATACAGAGTCTGTCTCATGCGGATTTCTCAAATCTGACCAGTTTGGCATACCTTGACCTGGACAACAATTACATCTCGAGTCTCCCCGCTGGAGTTTTCTCACATCTCACCCGTCTGAGGTGGCTGTCTCTATCTGATAATCATATAGCTGATCTTCTGGATGGAGTATTCTCAATTCTGACCAGTTTGGAATATCTTGACCTGTCCAACAATAAGATCTCGAGTCTCCCCGCTGGAGTTTTCTCACATCTCACCCGTCTGTGGCGGCTGGATCTATCTGATAATCATATAGCTGACCTCCCGGATGGAGTATTCTCAATTCTGACCAGCCTTAACCTGTCCAACAATAACATCTCGAGTCTTCCTGCAGACATCAAACACCTTTCTACCCAGACATCCCTTTACATAACTGGGAACCCCTGGAGGTGTGACTGTAGTTTACAGGATATAATGATTTCAGTGCGCGGTTCAATTCGCGGTAACCCTACCTGCAGCTCCCCTTCCCACATGAAAGACGACGCGCTGACCGGCCTTGTGTCAGACAGGATTTGTCACGGTAGCGGGGTCTGCACCACGGGAAGTACAGAGGGCACTTGTGCTTGTGACGTCGGCTGGACTGGCCCATACTGTGGCGAAGGTGAGATGTCTATAATTTGAATTCTTTACATGCGGTTTTAACAAGGCATAAACTCATGAAAGACTATTTTATGTTCATCGAATGAGGCCAGGTTGGAACCAGGAGGTTTAATTTCAGAAATCAAATTTCTTTGATGGAAAAGTATCAAAAAGTGAAAGCGTTCGAATTCCAAAACCTCCAAATACCCAGAAACGACACAGAAGCCTCAGTGAAAGCACAAAAGTGATGATAGCGCAAATGTTCTAAGTGATAATGTATAGGCAAAGGCATAACCCTTGTCCTGCTGGCAATTTTTACACAATATTTTCAAATAATTTCATGTCTTAATCAGGTCACAGACCCTTGCCTTTTTTTGGCCCGCGGCGGCGTAGTTACTTCCGCATTCGTTGCGTTTCGCTGCGGTGTGATGCGTTGCACGAGAAACACCCCCAAATCGTACATATACAGGGCACTATATAGATGGTACTGTATGTGCAACCCATATATATATATATGGGCTCCGCAGGACAAGGGTTTAATAAACTAGTTCCTCAGACACTACATGTTGATTAAGGACAAGTTGGATGTTCCAGCTTGCTTATAATACCCGTTGAGCCAAGGATTACATCCGTCTATTCGTCCATCAATGGATGTGCTTATATGAACCATGTACACGGGTCGAAAAAGGACGTTTCTAAATTACAGGTTAAAACGGCAGGCAGAAATGATGTCAATAAACTCCTGCTTGCTGATGCGGATAAAAAAAAGAACACAAAAACTGTAGACTATTTATAAAAAGGCCACATGTGAGGCTATGACTAGATTTTGGTAGACTAGGCTTTGATAGATGTAAGATAAATAGTCTCCAGCCCTGGTTCACTCGGAATGGGTGTAAATTTTACAAGGGGGGGGGGGTAGAGTTTCAAAAGCTTGAGTCGAACGACATAACCGCTTGCAATTTTTGTAATGTCTAAACCTCCAAAAACAACACATGTCGCATTTTGAAGGGCAAAGACAATGGTTGTCCACACAAGTAATAAAACCGACACACCAAAAGCCATTACGTTACGGAGGTTATAGGGAAAATATGCAGTCGCATTGACTTTATTGGTATTTGCGTCTTAATAAGAGTGCTGAATTGTTGGCGGCGATAACAACAGGAGTAGGGGAAGTGATAACAACATACCCAACTACTCGGCGAACCTACATGAGTCAGACAGTATACCCGAAACCAGAAACAAACAGTCATAATCCCAACACTAACTGTTGTTTAGTTCTAACGGGAATATCTTCCTGGGTCTTCTTATCCATATATATACATATCTATTTGTCGTCACGACTTGCGGTCACTGTTCACTTGCAGACCTTAACATTGCCCTTGGAAAGAACGCAACGCAGAGTAGCACCTGGACTGGTGCCGAGAAGGCTGTGGATGGTGATTACACTGAATGTGTAAGAAGAAACACAGGCCTGTCAGCATGGTGGCAGGTGGACCTGGCAGGTTTCTACAGAGTCAGGAGGGTCAGCGTTCAGAGTAAATTTTTGGGTAAGTTGTTTATGCACTGAATGTTACAGTTACATGTATTTCTAACGCTAATGCTAGTGCCATTTGTACATCAATGACCATCTACGTCCTCACTAAATCATTGTCACCAAGCACTTAAGACTTGTACCGTTTTAACCCTAAACAGTACACCTGGGGTCCGCGCGGACCCCAGCACTATATATTCTGTAATATCTTTTTTGTTTCTAAAGATTTGTTTCTGAAATTTTAGGTAATTGTCACCCAAAAAGTTATCTCTCAATACAGTGCAGAAAACTCCGTTTCTACCATTTATAAAAAAAATATATCTGATTTTCTTTTGGGGTCCGCGTGGACCCCAGCCGGCTTTCGATCATAATGGATACACTGGCGTTCTTATACATTAGCTTATTTCCGTTTTTATATGCTTTTATGCACTCATCGTATGTCTACCAAGTTTTCAGAGAATGGTGTAGTAATAGAATTAAATTTTAATAACTTTGGTGTAATTATGACGTCATATGACGTCAGAGCTAATAATATAGTCCGCCATATTGGATTTTGACCAAAGACGTCATCAAATTAGCATATTCTATGCATATTAAATGATTTAACTTATATTTAATTATGTAAGATGTTATTAATGTTGGAAAAGAAGTGTAATTTAATATAAAACTCAGAAAATTTTTATGTTTAAACCAAAATTACTTCTATTTTTAAAAAAACTGCCTGCTAGAACCCCGTTGCCATGGCAACACAAAAAAACATCAACTTACTAGTATTACACTAATATGAACTTTTTTCCAGAGACATTTTAGGAAAGGTCTCCAAATTTAATACTTCTAGCGTAAGCCATTTAGCCGCTATCTGAGATCAAAGTTGGGCCTCAAAAGCCCCTTCAGTCTGAAATGGGTTTAAAATCGGGTATTTCTTCTTGTCTTCTTTTCTTCACCAAAAAATAGAAAAAGTTCCAAATGTATGATTTTTGTATGTAATGTAGACACAGAGGTTCCCACATCAGTTTGCAAAACAATTGAGCTGGTAGCATGTTGATAATTTCTAAAAATTAGCAAAAAAACTGCTCTGGGGTCCGCGCGGACCCCAGGTGTACAGATTAATCAGTCCGGGAAGGTGTACTGTTGAGGGCTAAAGAAGGAACAGCTGTATGTTATAGCACCGCTGTCATTTCTTTCACTGTATCCCTTTTTAGACTGACTTTACTTTCATTTCTTTCACTGTATCCCTTTTTAGACTGACTTTACTTTCAACACAAAATGAGAAAAGCTCCATGCATAACTTGGTAGATGTGCGAGTAAATGCCGGCCATTAATTATCCGGTTGTTATTTTGTATTAGTAAACTTTCAAAATTTCTTCCGCCAAACTCTCGTGATATTTCTATGTGCTGAACAGGAAGAAGTTCCTTATGTAAACTGATGACATTGTGTAATACATATTGGCATTATAATTAGCTCTATTACAGTTTTTAGGAGTTAAGGTAGTTTTTATTTCTTGTGTCTAGTTTTGTATTACTTGCTTGTACTTATTAAACGTCCCTTCTGTATTTGCAATTAGTCCTAGGCCTCGGGCATGAATTTGGAATGAACAATTATATTTATATGTATCAATTTTCTATAGAGTGTATTAGGCCCTGTAGTCAAATTGAGGACATTGTAGCAATCCTTAAAAGAAATTGATAACTTCCCCCGAAACCCAAAGTATGGAAACATGTCCACCTTTAATGGAACAGATTGATAGGCAAGCTGTGAGAAAGTCTCCTCCCGTATTATAAACGCGAGTGGCTCAAACGCGCTCCATGCATGGTGTGTCCATTTTGGTGCCAGGTAATTATTTCCTATCTGGGCAGAAAGGTGACAGAAAACAGTATACCCATCGCCTTTTCTACTATGTAAAGTCGTCGGATATAGGCTTCTCTGTAATTAATGAAGGTGACGCAAAGAATTCTCCTGGTTCCATTTACAAGACGCGTGTGTTAGTTTCCACTTGTCACAGTATATTTGGTTGACTTAATTTTACAGGGGTTATTGGTAGGGTACGAGTTGGTCCGAACGAGAACTCGACGCAGAATGACCAGTGCGGACAGACTTTCCTACTCGGCTCTTCGTGGCCCGGATTGCTAATTGCGTCTTGCGAACAGCCTTTATTCGGCCGTTATGTGTCAATAGAGATTGTGGGGCCAATCGTCAGCCTGTGCGAGGTAGAGGTCTATGTTACAGGTAGCTATAATTTTTCAATGTCTTTACTGGGTAGAGCGGTGAAAATGAAAGCGTAAAGAAGTAGTGTGTAATTATCATCAAACGTATAACCAGGAAAAGTCATTAATGGTTTTAATTCAACCATCATGATGAAGAAATACTAGTACTATCAGGTACCGTGCAATGCCATGCATGTGTAATTTACACAATGTTTTTATTTACTTTCAAGTTAATTTGCTTCAATGGTCTATATTATATTAGTATAACTATTATTTCCGTTATGAATGAAATTTCGAATTTCTTTGGCCGTTTACAGTATTTCAAAAAAATATGACCCCTTCGTAACCCCTGCTTCTCCTATTGGGTCAATTAATCCTTACTTTTTGTGAGAATTTGAGCTGGTCTTAATCATGATGTTTCTGACTCAGGCAAAAGAGTTGCTGTTACAATTCTACTCTGTAATCCGTATCCTTGAAGGGTCCTAACGGCCGTGTTACGTAGCGACCACTGCTTACTTAAAAAATGTAACTGGCACTTTGGCACTTTTATATCATCAAGCCATTTCTTTTATATATTTACGAATGCACTTATTTTGCTGCTTTAGCTTATGTTTCAATGCCAGTTTTTTTTTTATTATCTTAAGATATCTGCTGTGACGATACCGTAAAACTGAAGAACGGCCAGGTCAATGCTACCGACGGCTACTGCTCTAAGAGCGACATCCAGTTCTCTTGTGACACTGGGTACGAGCTAGTCGGCAACCCTGCCACCTGCCAAAAGGACGGGAGTTGGGACCGAGAATTTCCGACTTGCCAACGTGAGTTTACATTTACGTTGTGAATGTCATGATAGCGTTATCGTCATTGTTCTTTTGGACGTACTCTTCAGCTTCAGGTAGAGTTGTGAAAACTTTAGGCCCTCCTGGAATGCCGGTACAAAATGTAGTCTCCTGTTGCAATTGTCTTTAGATGTAAAGAAGTCGACTATACTTAGGATATAATACCATACTATTCTCCAACTTAAAGGGCATTTGTTTGCTATATAAAGTATTGGGCTACAAAAAATGTGTTTGTGAATGGCTGGTCGTCGGACAAATATTTTTCATGGGCTGTGTTTTTTTTTTTCAAATACATGATGATTCGTCGGTGAAGGTTAGACATCCACGTAATAAGATAGGCCGAAAAGTAGTTACTGGATATGATTTTGGAAACGATCAGACGTTTCAGATAGCATCCACTAGCTTTCGTCAGCCTGAGTTCCATGCTGGTTAGTTTACGTCCGCTCCCACAGTCGACTGTGGGAGCGGACGTAAACTAACCAGGATGGAACCCAGGCTAAATAGACTGCAGAAGAAATGGAGGTTTGTAAGCACGAACTATTGAATAATATGCAAATAAGTGAAGTCCAAAATGAAACAAATGTTACACAAGTCAAGACAAGGATGATGCAAATTAAAAAAAAGTCAACATCACTATTCCGCTTGTCCAAGGAGTATCCGAGGGGGGGAGGTATGGGTAGAACTCTCAGGCACTTGAGATTTGGCGCTCCCGGCCCCAAGGTCAGACAAGATATAAAGTTAAGCTCCTGCTCTGAAACAACAAGAGCTTCTTTCACTAATTTGCATCATTCTTGTCTTGACTTGTGTAACTTGTGTTTCCTTATGGACTGAAATTTTTTTTTCACTTATTTGCATATCAATCAATAGTTCGTGCATTTCTCCTGCAGTCTCTTAGTGCCACTGATGAAGGGTAGTTGATATGCTACTTGAAACGTCTGACCGTTTCCAAAACCATATCCAGCTGTTTGAGTAGCTGCTACATGCTGATTACCTTCATCATCATCAGCCATGTTCGGCAGCGGAGAAGTCGACGTATCCAACATGATCGTAAAAAGTTTAATATTGCTTTGAAGGAAAAAAAAGACAAAAATAATTGACAATTGTAATTTTAGGGACCTGCTGTGACAACACAACCAGGATAAAGAACGGCCAGATTACAGTTAATGAAGACTACTGCTCTGGGAATTCTATCGAGTTCACTTGTGACACTGGATATGAGCTTGTCGGCAGCCGCTTCGCTGTCTGTCGGGACAAAAATTGGGACAGGGAGATTCCGACATGCCGACGTGAGTTGACTTTTTTCTCTGGAAGAATTTATTTTGTACGCTCTTTTTTGTTACCAGAAAGTAAAGAGTGTAGCAGCTATGGCACTGTAAGCAGCGTATTTAGGCCCTCAAACGGAGATGGTTGGGGTGGTGTATGAATTTATGTTGATATTTTCAGTAGACTTTTTTAAAATTCAATTTTCAGAGCATGTAATGTTTTTCATGCCAGCTTTATGTTATCAGGTATCCGCTGTGACAATACCACCGACATCATGAACGGCCGAGTCAATGCTACTGACGGTTACTGCTAAAATGCATTAAGAAAACAATATAAGGGCTTGCATTCGCTCGAATGCATGCAGAAACTGATGTACATATTATATCCATCTCATGGTACACGTGATATAGGGAAGACAACATTTTGAGTCGCTATATCACGACTATTAATCAAAAGGTCACAATGACAGACGACATCGGTCCTTCCTCTTCTACATTGCGTGTGAATGAATCAAATCACATTATCTGTAGAATAAATTGTCATACCACATTTATTTCGCAACGCTCGTCACTAATAACACCAGTACTGGTATTGCCGTTCTGGCGCCAAAAAAAAACAAACCTAAATATTCTAACACCCACACTAGGTCGCACGTCCACTGAAGCCATTATCGGCGGCACCAGTGCCGGTATCGCCGCATTGCTGATTGTGGCAGCTGTCGTCTTCACGGTGTACTTAAGACGTCGGAGGAAGAAAATAAAAGAAGAAGACTACGAACTATCGACTGTTTACTTTGTACCAGATGATGTTATCAGTGAGTACGGTTTCCAATTTTCTATCTGAAGGACTGTAAGTTATGAATTTGTATTTTTTTCCATCGTTTACTATATAAGGTTTATCTACAAATTGACTTTAAACCACCGTTGACCCAAAGTCAAAGGTATGTGTAGTGACTACATTTTAACCCTATCTAGACCGACTTTTTTTTTATTTTGATTCGTGGGTCGGGGGGGGGGGGGGTGCGGTAATCACTGCCCCCTTCAGAACTCGTGAACAATATACAGTATGGTCCGCCATCCTGACCAATTTTGACCAATAACGTCTTCAAATTAGCATAACGTATGCGTTTTTAATGATAAAGATTACATTTAATTGCATTACATGCTATTGAAATTAGAAAGAATGAGGCACTTGACATAAAACCCATCAAAGTCTATTGTTGAAACGAAAATTATTGAATTTCACAAAAAAATAATTGTAAGAAACCCGTTGCCGTGGCAACACAAAATATCACTAACTTATTATACTAATACAAAAAAAAATGTTGCCAAAAATATTTCAGGAAAACTCATGAAGCTTCTTGGTTTGGTTGAAGCGCAAAGCCGTTCAGACGCTATCCGACATCAAAGTTAGCTCGGGCACTTTTAGCCTCTCCCAGGTCTGGATAGGGTTATGGGCAATTCTATATATTTATCTACATATCCAGATAAGTGTTCTGGTCTTCTGAAAAAGATTCTTTGACACAGCTACCCTCAAGTCCCATTTTTTGTATTTGATAGTATGTCAAAACTCGCGTGATTACATGTACTTAATACAAAAGGAAATAGTCTGAATGGATTTTTTTCTTCGTCGATAAATGACAATATCATTATCAAGACAAAAGCGGAGGCTTCTGGATATTTCAACTTGGGAAACTTGCCATTAAGCACCTCACTTCTGTGTAAGGATATAGCGTTTTATCTTTTCAAGCGAATTTTTCTCCTCGACATTTACCCCAGCATCCTTGTCCCACGTTGTTGTACAGTCCATAGGAGGAGATTGGAGGAGATGGTCCCGCTGGTTCCTGCCCGACCACAGTTCCCGAAGTTAGAGACCGACCCCGGCCGGGTGACGCTTGGTGAGAAGATCGGCAGCGGGGCGTTCGGCATCGTTTACCGGGCAACCCTGACGCGGAACGACCGGACGGAGGACGTCGTCGTAAAAACTCTGAAAGGTTTTGAATGCAAATTACTTTTTTGTTTTTACATTAATGGCTTTGTACATATTTCACACAATATTCCAACGCAATTTTAATCTAGATGTGCACGAATTCTGAACGTGGCTGAATGGAAGTGTGCTTTTCCAGATCTGCACTCTATATGCAAAAGACACAAAACTATGTATGTAAATGTTTTTGTCAAAGGTCTTTTTCTAAAATTTAAAAAAAACGCCTGTAGTTAGTTACCTTGATCATGTATGATTATCCCTATTTCTATAGTTCCCACTAGTACGTAACGCTACAGTTTTGAATGTTTTTTTTAATCCACAGAAAACGCCAGTGAGGAGGACAAGCTGGGTTTCCTGGAAGAAATCCGTGCAGTTGTGGACCTTGGGGTTCATAAGAACCTGCTGGGTTTGCTCGGCTGCTGCACGGTGGTACGAGACCATCTGTATCTCATCACGGAGTTCATGCCGTACGGAGACCTAAAGAGCTTCTTGAGAAAATGCCGGGAGGTGAGCCACATGGTTGGGTTTTTTTTTCTGAAATGTGGTACGTTCAACTAGGAGCTAGGAACCCCAAGAAGTATTTGTTGAATTTTGCAAGCGAATAAGAATGATGAGGATGGTGTATTTTTAGTTAACGGACCAAATTATTAAGGGGCATTCTGGAAAAGGTTAGTTTTTACTTTATATATGTTTGTGCCATTTGGGCGTTGGAAAAGTTTGTTTAGTCTACTCTTTTAATTATGTTTTATAACATGCCTTTATATTTACGTTTCCATAGGAAGCGACCTCTGATGAACCTGGAGACGATATCTACACCTTTGAGGTTATACAGATGTATCAGGTGGCCCGGCAGATCGCTAGAGGCATGGTAAGTACCACTATCAGGTGCTGCAGAGATACATGTGCCAGGTGCTGCACATGTCAACGTAAACGTAGGAATCGCTGCAGATGTTCCACGTGCTGCAAATGCCAGATACTATAGATGTGCTATGTGCTTTAGACGTACCGGATGCTACAGCTGCACTAGGTGTCACAAATGCACCAGATGCTACCCATATGCATGAAATTGGTATATAAGAGTCTATTTCATCTGTACAATTTGTGGATTACAATATGCATACATACAATTGTGGACTACAAATGACATCAAATGCTCCTAAACGAAACATCATAATTGCAGCATCAGTTTTCAGGTTCTTAGCCAAGACTGATGTAAAATAGCAGAACTGTCACGCACTTCATGTGTTGTTCATGTTCCAGGATCACATCGCCCGGTCTCGTTACGTCCACGGAGACCTGGCCGCTCGGAACGTGCTGGTCGGAAAACGCCTGCATGTGAAGATTTCTGACTTCGGGCTGGCAGAAGACATCTACAGCCGAGGGTACCGTCGGCAGGACCGACTCCAGAGGGTGCCCTGGAAGTGGATGGCGCCGGAGCGGCTGGAGGATGGGAAAGCCTACAGCTCACAGAGCGATGTGTGAGTAGTCTTATCATAATGTCTGCAGTCAACTATTATAATCTAACTCTAACTCTAACCTAAAATCAAACAGAGCGATGTGTGAGTAATCTTATCATAATATCTGCAGTTAACTACTATAATATCAACTCTCTAACCCTAACCTAACACCACACAGAGCGATGTGGGCGTAGTCTTATCATAATGCCTGCAGTAAGATCTGATAACAAAACCAAAACTAAACCTAACACAGACAGACCGATGTGTAAGTCTGATCATGATAATGCCTGCAGTTAACTATGATAACCAATGTCTAACTCTAACCTAACACCACACAGAGCGATGTGTGAGGAGTCTTATCATGATAATACCTTCGGTTAACTATGATAACGAATCTAAAACTCCAACCTAACACCATACAGAGCGATGTGTGAGGAGTCTTATCATAATGTCTGCAGTTAACTATGATAACCAATCCAAAACTCTAACCTAACACCACACAGAGCGATGTGTGAGGAGTCTTATCATGATAATACCTTCAGTTAACTATGATAACCAATCCAAAACTCTAACCTAACACCACACAGAGCGATGTGTGAGGAGTCTTATCATAATGCCTGCAGTTAACTATGATAACCAATTCAAAACTCTAACCTAACACCACACAGAGCGATGTGTGAGTAGTCTTATCATGATAATACCTTCAGTTAACTATGATAACCAATCTAAAACTCTAACCTAACACCACACAGAGCGATGTGTGAGGAGTCTTATCATGATAATACCTTCAGTTAACTATGATAACCAATCTCAAACTCCAACGGCCTAACACCACACAGAGCGATGTGTGAGTAGTCTTATCATGATAATACCTTCAGTTAACTATGATAACAAATCTTAAACTCCAACGGCCTAACACCACACAGAGCGATGTGTGAGGAGTCTTATTATACTATCTATACTATTACCAATCCTGACCCATATTCTAAAAGGCCATCTCTCAAAGTTACCGTGACTTCAAATCAACTTTTATCAGGTGGTCCTTCGGGATAGTGCTGTACGAGATCTGCACGCTAGGGGGCGACCCTTACCCTGGCGTGGCAGTATCCGAGCTGAAAGACCGCCTACAGGCTGGATTCAGGATGGACCAACCTGAAGACTGCCCGCGAGCCATGTAAGTCTGCTAGTTTATGTACACTAATCGTTAGCATTCGGACAAGTTTAACTCTTTCATAGAATGACGTATTACTATTAGATAGGAACAGAAGCACCCATATCATCGAAATACACCCGGTAACCATTTACGTTATCCTGCTCACCCTCAAAAATGCATGCTATTGCTCGAAACTGAAACTCCATACAGCACACTTTTATATGCTCCAAATTTTGTGAATCGCAATAAGGTAAACTATGAGGCTATAATGCATTTTGCCCGAGGACCTAAATTGCTTAAGTTCAAATGACGATCGGTAGATGTCGCTTTCTCCACAGGTACGATCTGATGCAGCAGTGTTGGCGCTGGCAGCCCATCCAGCGGCCGCTTTTCAGCCAGCTGTATCTAACACTGGACAAGCATCTCGCCTTCTACGGACCCGAGTACTTACTTAATTAATCATCTTTGCTCCCGTTGGAGACCAAGGCACCATCAAACTTCTTCCAGCCGTTCCAATCTTGGCCCAGCCATCCGTTCTCATGCCATGTCTTTTGGGTTGTCTTTATTTCTTCTTCCACAGTCCTTCTCAATGTGCCTAGAGGAGCTTTCCTTGGGAATCCATCTGAGGGGAACGTATGAATGCTTGTTCTTGCTCGTACGTAGAATATGCCCTAACCATCTCCAACAACGTTTGGGATACCTTACATCTGCTGACTA